GTGAACGAGAATGTCAAGGAAGGAAAGATGCTAAATACAAATCCCAACAAGAAACCAACAAGTTACTGGAAAGATGCTTAGTTGGCATATCATGCGAGTGTGATGAGATACCCACTTGAAATGATGCACGTAGTCAGGTTCAACACTCATGGAAGGGAGCTTTGAACACACGTCTACGGCATGAATGGAATTCAGATCATGTTTAAGTTCTAGTCAAGGTAAGGGATTCAACATGTTCTCATGGGTGAATGGTAGAAACAAGTCTCTTACCTAAAGGTGGATTGGTGGTCTCCAACAAAGGTAGATTCCTCGGAGACACTTTCTTCGTCTGGTTTTGGGTTAGAGCTCTTTTCTCCCTCTTCAGTTATCGAATATGGAGAACTTGAAAAATATAAGGGATGAATGTGGGTTGGATAATGAAGAAAATTCATTAGGAGGAAGTTGGGAGTAGTGGGGGAATTCAAATTCTTTGGGATAAGATAGTTTGGAGAGGAGAATTGGTAGGTGTGGAATTCAAAGTATCACTAGGAGGTTCTCCGGAATCATTGCTGATTTTAGCTGGCATCTCAATGCAGTATTTGCAAATTGCTAGAGAGAGATCAGCAATGGGCTATGGGAAGAACTGACCATTATCAAAAAATACTTTAGTGGACCCTGAATGGTTTGTGGGCATTTCAGTTTCATCAGATATTCTGTAGAAAGAACATATTGCAATGGGATAAATCATAAATGGTGCTATTACGGAGTTCTCTTCTAGCATTGAAAATGTATAACTGGTTGATCCTCCTATATTGGAGGATCTTACAGTTGGAGGAGGCGGGATAATAACTGGAGTCCTTCTAGGATAGACAAATTCCTTCATTTTGCACAATAAGACGAGGAATTTAGTCGCATCAAACAGAGCCTTTTGGCTTTTGCCTAAATATAGGATTAGATCACAATTCTGTTCTGTTAACTTATGGGGATGGGAATTGAAGAAATCTTACTTCATGTTTGAAGCTTGGTGATCGGAAGTTCAAGAAATCAAAGACAAAGTGAATGGATTGTGGGGTTTCTTCAATGTTAATGGTGGACCTGTACTTGTTTTAGCTGAGACACTGAAACTATTACAAACAAAGCTAAATGAGTGGAGCAAGAACAACTGAGAAAATTGGAAGCAGAGGAAGGAGAACATTCTTAATAAGATTTGTAGATTGGAAGCTATTCAAGGACAAAAAACTCTCACTGATAATGACTTATAAGACTTGTAGATTGAAAGCTATTCAAGAACAAAGAACTCTCACTGATAATGACTTACTTAAGAAAACAAAATTTGGGCTTGGGATTTGAGGAGGTGGCAAAAAATGAAGAAATAGCATGGAACAAGTCCAGGTTACAATGGGTTAAATATGGTGATGACAACACTAAATTTTTTCACAGAATTGCTACTGCTCATAAGGGAATTAATTCCATTAATGTTTTAGAAGTAGATGGGGTCACTATTACTAATCCTAAGGATATCAAGGAAGTTGCTCAGAATTCTTACAAACATGTGTACGAAGAAACTAAATCTTGGAGATCAGAGCTGCATCGACATGATACATCAGTGATATCTAGTGAAGAACAGGAATGACTACAAAGACAATTTGAGGAGGAGATTTTTACTTGTATTAAACTTCTGTGCTAAGGAGAAGGCTGCTGGACAAGATGGTGCTCCAATGGTTTTATTTCATTGTGGGAAATGTTGAAGGAAGATATCATAAGAACTGTACAGTTCTTGCACTCCAACCAAGTTTTTGAAAGAAGCTTTAATGCCACCATTATTGCTTTGATCCCTGGTAAAATAGGTGCAGTGGATTTGTAGGATTAGGACCAATAAGTCTGGTAGGTGGAGTTGACAATATTATTGCAAAACTACTAGCAGAAAGGCTGAAGGAAGTGGTGAGTAAAGTGATAAACAAACATCATATGGATTTCATTAAAGGGAGACAGGTTATTGATGCTTCACTTATAGCCAGTGAATGAGTAGATTCAAGTTTGAGAGGTATGGAACCTGGGGTAATGTGCAAACTTGATATTCAGAAAGCCTATGGCCATGTAGTTTTGAAATTCTTATAAGGTATCCTTAGACAGATGGGATTTGACAGTAATTGGTTGACCTAGATTGTGTGTTGTATTAAAACCGTAAGATTCTCTGTTCTTGTAAATTGAGAACCTGTGGATTTTTTACTCTCCATGTGAGAGGGGGTTGAGACAGGGTGATGCTCTATCTCATTTCCTGTTTATTCTGGCAATGAAAGGTTTTGATGGCATGATGATAGTTGCACTGCTAACAGATGGTTAAGGGATTTCAAATTAGTGGAAGAGGTGGGGAGGAAATGGATATTACCCATCTTCTTGATGCAAATGATGCTGTCATCTTTTGTGAACCGAAGGCTGAACAGATCTGTTATATTAGATTAATGTTGATAGTCTTTGAAGTTGTTGCTGGGTTGAGGGTTAACTGGAGTAAAAGCTGTCTATTCCCTGTCAAAGAAGTCCCTCATATTCAAGAACCTGCAAGCACACTAGGCTGCGTAGTGGAGAATTTGCCAACAATTTATCTTGGCATGCCATTAGGTAGGAAACATAAGACACTCGAGATCTGGAATGGTATACTAGGAAAAGCTGAGAAGAAGCTAGCATGGTGGAAAGCCCAATACTTATCACTTGAGGGAAACTTTACTTTGATCAACTCTATGCTAGATTCGTTTCTTATAAATGTGATGCCCTTGTTTCCTGATCATATATCATATATTATTATAGGTTAGGTGGGAAGCTTCAACCTTGAAAGTTGGATTACCATTATACCTCTACTCTTAATTTAAATGCCACAAATCAACTAATTAATTAAATATTAAATAATAATCATATCATATTATTATACTATTATACCACTATGTACTAATCATATTTATTATATTATATATCAACATAATGTATAGTTAAAGTTTATAAAGTTAAATGTTGGATTATAAAAATAACCTTATTAAGTTGAGTTACTAACTTACTATAATATCATTTAACTAGATATTACTTCAAAAAGGAAATTGTACAAAGATGTAAATGCACATTCTTATAAAAAAATAAATATATTCAGTTAGAAGAAGGTAGACGTTCACCTTTCCCTTCATTATTAAAAATAGGAATCTTAATTCTTAATAAAGGTAAATAATAACTTCTACGCATGAATGTGATCTATTTTTGTTCAATGTACTACACTTTTTCTTCTCTTCTCTTTAATTTTTGCTCATTTATCTTTTACCTTTATAGCCTTTTGATATTCTTTTTTATCACCTTATAATCTGCAAAAAAATTATATCATTTGATTATGCTTTACCGATATTGTTTCTTCTCCTAAAAATCGTTGGTTGATGTAGCTACTTATCTAGATTAGTGCACCTGATTTTGCCAAAATACGTATTAAATGATTTGAGGAAACTAGATTTGATTGGGAATTGAAGAGCAAACTAATTTGATCATATCACTAAATTGGAACTATATTTAGATCAAATCATTTAAATGGACTTAGCATTACTATTGCAAGTTTCTATCAGGAGGCCTTTGATCATATTCGATGAATATGTACAACCCAGAATTGATTGTTTACATAGTAAATGAGTATCTTCGGGAACTTGCAACCTTGTCCCTTGTTTATTTTCTTCCTTTTTTTTAACCTCCTTATTTACTTATACTAACTTTATCACTTTTTAACATGTGTTTGGAGTACCGTATCTTTTCTATTAGGTAATCTAGAATTCTTATGCATGAAGATAATCAATCCAATCACTATTAATAACTCTATTCTGATTTTTTGACAACATGCTCAATAGTGTTCTTATTTCTTCCTTCTCCGGGCTTTGATTATGGAAGAAGCTAGGAACCTAGAAGAAGATATAAACACTAACAAGTTACTTGGAATTTTTTTAAAAAAACTATTAACTAATACTCACTCGATCCATTCCATATTAATTTAATTTTTGAGTTGTCTCACACCCTTTAAGCAAAGTAGATTAAGACATAAATTCAACATGGTTTTCATTTTTACCCTTACTAATTATTCTCAAATTTATGTTAAAATAACTATATGTTAATTAAGCACTAATTTCAATATTAACTAATGAATGGTAAAATTAAGAAGATACTCTAAAAGTAGTCTTGAAAACTGAATAATTAAATTAATTTGAAAGTGAAAAATGCCTCAAAAATTAAATTAATATGAAATGGAGGGATTATAGTATAAATATTATCAACTGAAGTTGCTCGTCTTTTCAATCATATACACAAATAAAAATGATTATCAGCTAATATAATGATAAACATTATAGGCTGAAGTTACTTGTCTTTTCAATCGTATATACACAAGCAAAAATCTAACAGCATATATCAACCATATTGGACTACAAAAGATGCAAACATAATTTGAATTGCTCATCTTCACATTCAATTATGTGTAAGAAACAAGAAAAATGACAAGGTGAATAATGCACAGCATGGAAAGTAAAATGTCAATAGACGAAAATATTCTTAAAAATATTGTTGGACTTTTGTATCCTCCTAAAATTGAACATTCCTTAATTATAAATACACAAAAACAAATATCAAATATTTGTCTTAGAAGAGTTGTCTTGAAAGTTGAAATATCAAAATGATCATTATGATACGTGCATTTTAATATACATTCTAAAATTGAAGAATATTTCTGAATTCTAAAGTTATAATTGATCTTTTCCTTATCAAAGAAAAATATCAATTCTAAAGTAAATTTGCTTTATCAATAAAATTAAAATTCATGTAAACAACATAAATGCTGTAAAGTCAATAACTTAAATATGAATTATATAAAATTTATTTTTTGTGAAATGAAAGAGGCATAACAGTACTAAAGAGAAAAAACATATAGTAATGATGTTGGATAAAAATGTAACAACCTGCAAGAGGAGAAACTTTTAGTTCGAGAAGTTAAAGTTTTCTGTGTTGCTAATATTCCCATTTTACAACTCAAAACTTTTACTCCGTTGATTCCTTTTTATATGCCATCTTTCTTATAAATAGTTGGTCTATAATATTTGTTATTTCATAAAATCAATACATAAATTACAATATTCTTTCTATTTTACCCTTGTGAGCAGGACGACCCACATTGGGTCCAGGGGGTTCACCCGAACCTCCTCCGCAAAAAAATACACGATATGTATAAGGTAAATTTTCTGTGTTTCTGTTGATGTATATATTTTGAACCCTCAATAACAAATAAAAATAGATGGCTCAGTTGCAAGACCCCTGAATATTGGGTTGGACCGTCCCTAGTTCGAATCCTTGTGACAACATCTATTTATTTTCCTTTTTTAGTTTCAATTTATTTTTCTTATAATAACATCAATTATGTATTTCAAGATTTTTTTTGCTTTATTTTTATTTTAAAAATGTGCTAAAACTGTGGTTTTAAACCCAAAAAAATTCAAGGGTTCCATTTCGAAAGACTTATTTACACTTTACACTTTTATTTTTCGAACCCCTGAACAAAAATTCTGGGTCCGCCACTGCTTGTGAGTTAGTAGTCTAGAAAATGTATATTTGACCAAGATAGAAAAATCAAGTGAATAATTCATGTTTATTTGTCAAATTAATTAATCAAAATAAAATAATTCGAATTCATTGATTAAAATGTTGACTTCAAAAATAAATAAACAAGGGTAGAATATTCAACTAAATTAATTTCTTAATGCACTTAAATAAAAATGGTAACATATAAATAAGAACAAAGGAGTAAAATATAATGTATAAATTTTATAATTATAATATCTAGAGTACAAATGTGCAAATGCACGTTCTTAGAACTAGTTCATCCATAATTGTGACAAATTTTACAAGCTAAGGAGAAAATTTCTATGGCATGACTGCAAAGAAGGGGAGGGGTAATGTTTGGTGAAGTGGGTGGATTGAGAATCAGAAATATAAGACTATCAAACAACTGTCTTCTGATGAAGATATAATGCAGAGGAAAATGTCCTCATGAAGAACGTGATCATGGCATAGTATGGTGAGTTGAGCCCCTGATGCACAGAAAGTCACTGAACCTTTTGGAGTTGGGGTATTGAGAACTATCAGTAAAGGGCTTTGTGGCACTGGTAGAATCAAATTTCATAGTTAAGGTGGGCACAAAATTAAATTCTAGAAAGAAGGATGAAGTAACCAAACTCCTACTAGGAATCAAAGATTGATTCACAAACTAAATGTATCTGGCAGAAAAAATTTCTCCTTTTTCCAGATCTGTGTTTTTGTTGTTTTTTGTATTTGTTTTGTTTATGTTTTTTCTCATTCCCTTATCTGAAAAATAATATTTCTTTTTAATTAGAGGATTGGGAGGTTATCACTTTAATAATTGTCCCCACCCACCCTACCCCTCCCCTTTTTTTCAAATAGGAAATAAGAACTATATCAATAATCTCTTGTGTCGGGTCGGGTCGGCCCACATGGGCGACCCACGATCCTAAACTTACATCTCCCACTTCGCACATGGTGGACAAGACCCAAGCTAATACAATATCAACTAAAAACACAATTCATACAACAAATAGTTTGTGTGACCTGTGAGTATCAAGAGTTTGACTTTAAGGTTTTTCAAAAACATCGACTTTAAGGTTTTTCATTAAACAAGTCATAATATGGTGGTGAAACTCATCTCTTCATGTTTCTCGACGTAAGAGGTGATTGCTCGTGTGAGAGAGTCAATCTTGCTACTTGTTCGACACACTTTATTTCTAATCAAATATCACATTTATACAATATTTGAACATAAATTCAACTGTTTTATATATAGAAGAGAATATTGTAACAATCAATTCATTTTACAATACTGAAATATCATCATACTTTACGCAAACCTAGAGCCTTAACATGTTTTTCAAATAAGTCTCTAATGATTGCCTTCGTAAAAGGATCAACTATCATTTCACGTGTATGAATGTATTGCAAAGTTATTTCTTTATTTGCCACTATGTCTCTTACAAAGTTATACTTGATGTCGATGTGTTTGGTTTTGCTATGATACTTAGGATCCTTTGTATATGCGATAGCTGCTTGACTATCATAATATAGAATCATGGGACCCTTAGAACTCTTTGCAATACTCAAATGCGTAAAGAATCTCTTAACCAAACAACTTCTTGTATAGCATATGCACAAGCCACAAATTCAGATTCTATTGTTGAAAGAGCTGTGCAAGTTTGCTTCTTATTTTTCCATGAAATTGCACCTCCATTTAGTAAGAAAGCATAACTTAATATTGATTTTCTATCAACATTGATATAACCTCTTATGAATAAATCAGATCCATTGTAACACAGTGTATGATCTGCAGTTCCCTTCAGGTATTTGAATATTCTCTTTACTGTTTTCCAATGATCTCTTCGAGGATTGGATTGATACCTGCTAACTAGACTTATGACATAACAATTGTTTGGGCGAGTACACATCATAGCATACATCAAACTCTCGACTACACTAGAATAAGGAAGTCGAGACATGTCTTCCTTTTCATTTTCAGTCTTTGGACACATTTCAAGGCTTAAAGTTTCACCCCTTGCTACAGGAGTATCCATGGATTTGCAACTATTCATTTAAAAACGTTTCAATATTTTCTTTACATATGTTTCTTGGGATAAACTTAAAAATTTATTAAAAAGTTCTCTTTGGATCTTAATACCCAATATATATTCCGTTTTACCCATATCTTTCATATCAAATGATTTTGAAAGCCTTGACTTGATAGTTTTCACATGCTCGAAATTATTTCCAGCTAATAAAATATCATCTATGTAAAGAGAAAGAATTAAAAACTTTTCATTGGAATTTTTCACATAGATGCAATGGTCTTCATCGATCATGGTGAAATCAAATGACATCACCTCCTTAAGAAATATCATATACCACTGCATTGAAGATTGCTTTAGCCATGAATTGATCTTTTCAATTTACAAACTTTCTTTTCTTAACCTTTAACAACAAAACCAATTGGTTGTTCCATGTAAATTTCTTTGTTCAATTCTCCATTAAGAAAAGTTGTCTTCACATCCATTTGGTGTAATTCTAGATCTAAACATGCAACTATAGCTAAAAGTAATCGTATGGATGTAAACTTCACAACTGGTGAAAAAGTTTCCTCATAGTCTATTCCAAACTTCTTGAGTAAAACCTTGTGCAACCAATCGTGTTTTATGTCTTTCTATTGACCCATTCGATTTACGTTTAACTTTAAAAATCCATTTATTCCCAATAGCTTTACGTTCCTTAGGAAGGTCAACTAGATCCCAAACTTTGTTAGTTTTCATGGACTCTAATTCTTCTTACGTTGCTTTTAACCATTCTTCCTTTTTAGGTCTTGATAAGGCCTCAGTTACAGAATTAGGTTCATCCAATCCTGTGAGAGGTACCAGGAAAACATAATCCTCAATCTCATACGATCATTTAGGTGCATATTTTCTTGTACTCTTACGTATTTGAAGTTTAGACTCCTCTCTAGGATTTTGAGATTCATAATTTCCACTCGGACCAGAAATCATTTCTTGATCCGTTGAATTATCAAGTATGTTTGACAACATTTCCTGATCTTCTGTATTCAACATTTCGTACATAGGCTCAACTTCACATATTTCACCCTTTTTGGTAAAATCATTTTCCAAAAATTTGACATCTCGTGATACAATTTCAGTAATACTTCCATCCTCCAGTTCATCGATGAACACATATCGTTTAGAACATTCAGAGTACCTTGTAAAGATAGATTTCTTTCCTTTTGGACTTAATTTACCAAACTCACCATAACGATCTTCAATATAAGCGCAGAACCCCACGGTCGTAGATCATTCAGGTTTGTTTTATGACCAGTCCAAAGTTTAAAAGGAGTGGAAGACACTGTCTTAAAAGGAACTTTGTTCAATATCTAAGCCGAAGTCAATAATGCATTTGTTGAGGTGTATAAGGAGTAGTTAACTGTCTGATAATACCTTTTTCAGTACATAATTCTTCAAATTGTTTTGACAAATATTCACGTTCTCGATCGATTCTTAAAGCTTTTATGCTTTTATCTAATTGATTTTCAACTTCATTCAAATATCTTTACAGCACTCAAGTGCTTCAGATTTATGTGAAATCAAATAGACATATCAAAACGCGTAAAATCATCAATAAATGTAATGAAATATGTAGCACAAGACCTTGACCTTACATTCATTGGACCACAAATATCATAATGAATTTATTGAAGTGGGAACTCAATTTTCTTGCCTTTTCAAATGGTTTACATGTAATTTTTCCAGCAAGACAATTTTCACAAGTTGGCATTTCAATTTTGGTGAAAGAACCTAAATGCCCTTTTTTTGCCAACATATTCATTCGAGCCTATGTGACCTAATCTAGCAATGCCATGTAATAACATCAACATCATTGTTACTTGAATAACATGTCTGAAATATCAACTCAACATTGCTTTGTCTAGGGAATCAGGGTTCAAGTTAGAAGTGTGTACATCGAAGGTCGAAGTCAACCTTCAAAAGGCCTTTATTTTTTTGCTTATAGAATAAGAATTACCAACAACTCAGATCGTCCTGTTCAACTTCTTAGAAGGCACTGGATCATCACTGATGCGAATGGAAAAACGGAAAATGTCTGGTGAGTTGCTAACTTTGCTGTTTTGGCATAGTTATGGTAGACAATATTGTTTATGTTAAATTTATGCATGTCCTATTTTTTTTACCTTATGTTGTCATCAGTCCATTAGGTGGCCATTTGATTTTTTGATTTTTAAATTTGGGCTAAACATTGTCATCATTTATTCTGTTAGGGGAATTGGTGTAATTGGTGAACAACCAGTGGTACTTCCCAACACTACTTTTGAATACTCATCTGCATGCCCATTAGGAACTCCAAGTGGAAGAATGGTAAGAAACTAATTTGTTTTCCCTGATCTTTCCTTCATGAAATGCTACTTCTTCCTCATTTTCGTTTTTATGTGGCATTTTAATGTTGAGATCAATATGTAATTGCACCCACTCACAAAGATATCATTGTGATGTGACTGTATGACTCTGGGCTCTAATTTCTTAGAGGGCGTTTTACCCCCTAAAATTCAAGGAAAATAAAGTAATGAAGGATAACAGTTTTCAAAGGTTTAGATTATGCCCTCAAGTGTAGCTGTACGATTCTTACAACTTATTATAGAGTCGTATATCTAATAATACAAATGGAACAAATTGGAACTATTTTAGTTGAACTCAGGTAAGCACTTGTGCATGCTTTATCTATTCCACACACACACTTGAAGTAACCCATTAATAGTAGTAGAACACTGTGTTATCTCCCCTGGTATTAGTTACTACCATTTGATCACTTACACTGCCACAAACATCTGAATGTAATCTCCAGCTGAAATGAAATTTTACTATCAAGGTTGCATTGTACATACAGAATATTGAAGACATGACTAAAAACCTGATACTTGACATGTACTCCCTTTTATAGGTCTTCAAGAGGAATAAGAAAGTCATAATTTGCTTATCCTACGACAAATGCACGCACCCGCGCACACACTCTTCTCTTCATTCTCTTCAACTCTAGAGGAGGATTTAACAGTGAGAAAACAATAAGAATATGAATTTAGTACATTCTATCTTATCAAATTAGGACCTGCTATGCATTTTGTAGAATAATTGCTAACTGCTGAATTTTCAAACTATTTTCTTCACAAATAGTTGATTGTCATATTAGCTTTACATAGCTTACCTACACTAATTTTCATGTTTGCTTTTTCTGAATTAAGTTTTATTTGATACGCTTGTTCAAATTGAAGATCATATTTGGACTAGGGAAGAGAAAAAATTCAATTGCATAGTTATCAGGATTTAATTTGGAATGAGAGATGTTAAAGTGAAGGGTTTTCTGAGGTGCCAAGTAGTTAAAAACTAGTAGAATCTACTCAATTTTGTCCTTTGATTTCTAATAGACTGATACTCCTAATATTTCGGAGGGTATACTATTAGATCCTTGTTATTTTCTGGCAAATAAAAAATGAATTTCCTGGTTGGGCTTTGATGGCGACAAAACTTGCAAGGTCTCTGTGTCTTCATTTTTTCCTTCATGTGCAGTCAATACGTGTCAATCGTTCTGTTTCAGGAATAATTCTTACCTTCTAGGCTATGTTGCCCAGACCCACCCAATAGGATTGCGGATCTAGAGGTCGGACTAACTTTTAGGATTCGGGGCTAGATAAGGCCAATAAATGTATATTATGACATATAGTATATATTTTGATAAATTGTAGTTATTGAACTAATGTTGGTACATTTAGTTCTTTATAAATGCCTAATATTGTATTCATTAGACATCTCATTCGTTTAATAGCTGAACATTCTCATACTTTATATAACTACATAACATATATATGTAACTACATAACTATATAACATATATATGTAAGCCTACAAAACCCAATCAATTTGTATTTCTCAAAGCACCCAAGATGTGGTGTTCCTTCCTTCATTTCTTTGTTTCTTGCATTTCTAAAATGCATTATGTGTGAATTATGATTGTCTGTTACTATACAGGAGGGTGACTTCGAGATGAAGCATATTGACAAAGTAGGCTCACGGACATTCAATGTTTCCATCGCTCCTTTCTCTCTCTCCAAAGTTGTAGATGGCAGTGATACCTTTTCCGATGGGAGCTGAGAATATTTTGAAGCATGCATTTGTACATTTTTATATAAAATTTTAGGCTAAGGTTGTGTTTTAGTTGCTGGCAGATAATAAACTCATTGGGTGCATTCGATAAATGTTATCGCTTGATGTAATATATTCCTTCGATAAACCGTATGAAACATAGGGATCTCATGCATTCTTTTACATCGAACATATCTATCTGTGAATTCTAATTGTATATAATATCATATTCAACTCTCTCCTTTTCACACTTAAATTATCGTATTTCTCGATGTTCATATCTTATACTTAGGAATTGCAATGATGTGTGTGTGTGTAAGGGATTGTATGGGTGGTCACTTCACAACTCACTTGTGTAAGGGATTGTACGGGCGGTCGCTTCACAATTTACTCAAGTGAACCTTAGAATCACCTTTGGTAGGAGGATCTCATGTCTATGTGCTTGATGTGTTGTAAGTGTATGTACCTCATTATACATGGCCTTAAGGATCATTTAAGTGTGCCTAGAGATGGTGTATGGGCGGACTATCTTTGTCTTACTTAAGTGAGTCTTAGGATAGCCCTTAGTGAGGGTATTTATATGCTAGAAGGTGTTCGAAGTGAAGTTGAGAAACTTCACTATAACAGTGAAGAAGTTCACTGTACGGCCTTAAGGATCATTTAAGTGTGCCTAGAGAGGGTGTATGGGTGGTCTCTCTTTGTCTTACTTAAGTGAGTTTTAGGTTAGCCCTTAGTGACGGGATTTATATGCTAGAAGGTGTTCAAAGCGAAGTTGAGAAACTTCATTGTAACAGTGAAGAAGTTCACTGTGATATTTTCCTAAAAATGTGATTAATTGTTTAAATAATTTCTTATGTGTTTCTAAGTTGTTAAATGTTCTTCTTATGATTATAGTATGTTGTTTTAATAAAAATTCATTTAAAGCATGTTATTTAGTAAATGTCCCTTTTTCATTGTTCTTGCATGACTTCCATACTTAGTGCATCTAATTTGTTAATCCTTTTGTTTCCCTTTTTGACTAAAGTGTAGGGAATTGGAAGTTTTGATGTGCCGTGGAGGATGGATAGGTTTCCAAGGGTTGAAGATGAAGTATTGGTGAGTCCTCATCGATTCGAGGACAATATCCACATGTGTTCCCTTATGTCTTAGTCTTTATTTTATGTCTTATATGGGCTTAGTCCCAAGTATTATATACTCCAAAGTTTAGATGGTTCAAGGAGATGTTGTAAAGGTTTAATGTTTTTAAATGAAAGTCTTCCATTTGTGTAATGATTATGGGAAGAGTTCTTCGTGTATGAAGAAAGTTTTAAATTCTTGCTGTCATGACCCAAATCGGGCCGCGACTGGCACCCACACTTACCCTCCTATGTGAGCGAACCAACCAATCTAAACCTTAACATTTTAATATAATATCATCAGAAAGTAATGCGGAAGACTTAAACTCATTAATAAAAACCAATTCAATAACTTCTAAAAACTCAACAACTATTATTATTCCCAAAATCTGGAAGTCATCATCACAAGAACATCTATCTCAAATTACTAAATCTAAGAGTATCTAAGAAGCTAAAATAAATGAAAAGCTAGTCCATGCCGGAACTTCAAGGCATCAAGACACGAAGAAGAAGACCCATTCCAAGCTAGAAGCATTAGCTCACCCTGAAATCCGGTGTAATGAAGACTGGCTAGAGTTGCGGTTGAGTTGAAGATGATGGTACGTTTGCTACACTCCACAATGAACAAGAAAACATACAAGTAGGGGTCAGTACAAAACACAAGTACTGAGTAGGTATCATCGGCCAACTCAAAATAGAAAATCGTATATATATCAGATAACATCATAAAATCAACTAATATCCTTAGCATGCAGCATTTACAATTACCATAACCCTTGGTAACAACACCAAGCACATCAATGAGGACTCACGCCTCCTCATCATACTCATTTGG